AAGTTGTACTGCAATCTGACTGTGACTCTGGATATTCTGGATATCATTTATGATGGTGATTTAACAAGTGTATGTATTGGCAATGATGCCTTACGTGTTTCATATACTATCACTGAGGCCAGACCCAAAGTTGTTTAAATCAGCTGAGAATTTCTCATGAATTCCAGATGGTTTTAGATGACAGACTCCATGCTTAATGAATGCATTTGGAGGTTGGGAACTTTCTAAAACAGTTCAAATATTTTATTTTATTTTTAGTTTATTTATTTTAGTCTTTTCCACATTTTTAATCGACATAATTGACATTATGCAATCAGAATAAAATCTTCTGGAAGCAAGGCTCCACAGGGCATCGTAACAGATGGCAAAGTGCCTGGTTTTCCATGGTAATAATAATACAGAAAAGGGAATGCTTCTGTTCAAATTCCTTTTGCCTCCCACCTTAAATTTTGCAGTGGTCTCTGTCCTCTTAAAACTGTGCTCTGAGTATCTCCCTACAGCTTTGGACATGTATTCAGAATAGAAAAATGTAACAAGTTGCTTTACCATCCAATCCTTTAATAAATGTATCACATCTGGGTCTGTTCCTCCTGTTTGTTTCTTTCTGCAGGTTATTCCCCTACTGATTGGGGAGAAAGAAGATGCATTGTATCAAAATCACCTGGTACTTTTTCAGTACTAAGAGCTGAAACAGCACCAGCATTAATACTGTCCTAAATTCGAGAAAAAAAAAAATAGATTATTGAGATCATAATACAGAGCAAATAGAGAATGGTAAAATATGCCTATCTAAAGGAAGAGAGTGAAAGCAGATCAGTTTAAAGAGAAGTAATAACACTTGTGCTTTGTCTACTTAGTGCAAGATCTAAAAGCCCTCATTCCCTTCATGCTGCTTTAGAACAATCTGTTATTTGATAATAGTTACAGCTTTTTCTCCTAAAATCAGCCAAGGGCAGCCGTTGCGCACCAAACGTGTAAAAGGAAGATTGATAGCAGGGCTATTGTTTGTCACTATGTGGGAGACTTATATAGCAACCAGCTTTGAAACAATGTTGGGTAGTTCTGATTAAAATAGTGTCTGTGTTGTCTGGGTGGGGGAAACGGACTGATCTGGCTTAGTCCTGACGATGCTGCTCATGCTCGGTGAGTTTCCAGGGTCCCTTCCCATGCCGTGTGCACTCACAGGGGGAGGCTCAGCTCAGATGCTCTGCAGGAGATTTGTGGAAGGACTGGAAAGTGCAAGGGAGCACTACTTTTCCCTGCTTGGTCTAATGCTCATCTCTTTTCCCCATAAAAATGTTAAGGTAAAATGTTTTGTATCTGGTGTTGGGGTTGGTCTCTTCTCCCAAGTAACTAGCGATAGGACGAGAGGAAATGGCCTCAAGTTGCGCCAAGGGAGGTTTAGACTGGACATTAGGAAAAACTTCTTTACTGAAAGAGTGGTCAGGCCTTGGAACAGGCTGCCCAGGGAAGTGGTGGAGTCACCATCCCTGGAGGTATTTAAAAGATGTGTAGATGAGGCACTTAGGGACATGGTTTAGTGGGCATGGTGGTGTTGGGTTGATGGTTGGACTTGATGATCCTAGAGGTCTTTTCCAACCTTAATGATTCTGTGATTCTATGATTCTTCTATATAGATTTGTGCCAAAATCTACTGAATCCATGTAGGGGGACTTTCACCAACTTGTGCTCTCTGAAAGGGTCCAGAGTGGGAGCACCTCTGCCTGAGTGCTGACCTACCAGTTAAGCAGTTCTCCTGGGCCACGCACTTGTCTTTGGGCTCTGTAATGTTACTCCTTCTGCCCCTGTCTTTGGGTGACTGGAAGTTCCAAAGCTAATTTCAGTTTTCTTTTATGAAGAAGAAAGATAAAAGAACAGCACCTAATCCTTTTCTTCATGAAGAAATCTCTGGAGAAAGAACTCATGTGTTAGATTTGAAAAAGATTGGCATTGCTTTTTCACTGAGATCCAATGGCATTTCACAATTCCCACTGAGACCTGTCCACAGGAGAGCAAGCATAATGGTGATGCTCATCCAAACGATCAAGGAATGTCATACGCTATGTCTGCTCATCACAAACAGATTAGCTTTAATTTCCTAGTCTGGATGACAGCACAGGCTATTCAACATCATCTTTGAGTTGCTAATCCTCAAAGAATCTGTTTACTTCTTTTTCAACGTTATTGCCATGGAAACTGGCTAAATTGCAGGTCCAGATTACATCTTTACTGTTCACGCACTTTCATTTTGATCTGCAGACATTCTTCAGGTACCAGGAAGAGAAAAAGAACAAATCAGTATTGTTCCTTGAAACATCTAGTCACTCCCTGTGCTCTCCAGCCTCCACTGGAGTGTAGCCACTTGTGTTCTGTGTCTCCTAGGGCAAGAGACTTGAAACCTGAAGATCTGTTACCTGCAGCCTCATTTTCTGCGATAACATTTCTCAGCCAAGCTTGAGAGGACAACACAGCAGATATTGCTTCCGTATCTATTTTTCAGGCCTTTGCAAGTGGTAATACAATGATGCAGAGAGAACAATTACCATTTGGAGCACAAATCTAGGAAATGTTTTGCAGGTGCACTAAAACTGTTGAAAACAGGTGTAATCAGGAGTCAAGGAGAATTGCTATTAACAGTACGTATCAACGTCAAGAATGGTGAAGTCTCTATGTCAGAATCCAGATAATGAAGTTCTTAAGGGCAGAACATGTCTCCACTACATGTATGGTCTGCATGTAACAAATGATGGCCCGAACCATAAGTGTTGCTATTCTCGTATTTTGGGGATTTGAGTGCTGTCTTGAGTGTGTGAGATCTCTAAGTTTATTTTGTTTAGGTATTCAGCTGAGTATGAAGTAAATGTGCCCTCTGTTGTAACTTGGTCTGGATTCTTAGAGGTGGAATGTAGGGGCTATACCTCTTTAGAGACTTGTTGCAAGCTCTTGTTTTAATCAGATGATAATGGACTTCTTTCTGATGGAACAGTCTTTATCCCTTGGGAAACTTTGTAGGTTTGAAAGTGGATGGAGGGGGGTGGGGCGGAAATGCAATGAGTTATGTATGTTTTCTTTTAAGTGTTTGGAAAACCCAGATATGCATGTGTAAGTAGCCCCTAGGCAGCTATAAGTTAGAAACTGGCATTTACATGGCAAGTCCTAATATATGCTAATGTCCTTGGTGACATTACAAGAGTGATTTTCACACAGATAGCATTTTTAATGGAGTATCTATAATGCATTAGTCACTGATGCCTTTGCCTTGCATCAGGCATTCATATCCTTATGTCCACTTTCCTTTCCACTGTACTTGAGCTACAGTCAAGTTACAAGGAGAAAATCTGTTCTTCATCACTGTATTATTTTATCTCTGACCCTTCTGTAATACAGTTTCGTTTTGAAGAAGTCTTTCTGTATCACTGTGAAGTCTTTCATGCCAATACACATCGCTATGGATCATAAGAAGTTGAGGGGAATGAGTGCCCTTATGTTGCATGGGAAAGCACCTTCGCATTACAATTCTTCATTCTTTTTGTATGTTCAGGGTATTGAGATTGATTCTCTTTCACTCTGACACGACAGAGTGCAGCACATGCCCTTGTCTGTCTCTCCAGAGAGTGAGTTAACATTGGTAATAGAATGGGTGAGTTTACTAAGTACAGGAGGTAGCATAATTATATGGCTTTAAGAGATCTATTTCTAACCTGATTCAAGAACTTCTTAGTTTATATGAGTGATTCATGGGCGGAAGTTGCTATTGTAGCAGAAAGGCTTGTGTAAATTGAGCATGGCTGGTTATATGGCTGGTTTTGGCTGAACCTGGTAATATTATGTTCTCTGTATCCTCAAAATTTGTATTCAGAAGAAATGAGGGGAGTTTTTAATTTTCAGGAGTATCATTATCCAGTGTGTCTGCATGACTTGCTTGCTTTAGTGAAGGAGTGCTTTCCTTTGCTCTAGCCTCTGCTTGTGAGAGCAATGCATAATCTAGTGTCATACTACAGGAAAAGGTGCTCAGGAGCCAAACCTGTGTCCCTGATTCTGTCATGGATTCTGGCAGTTTTCTTGCAGATGAGATGTGGCTTCCCGAGGGAAGAAAAATAAAGTAAAATCAAGAGCCAGGGAATGAGTGGGCACTTTTGAAAATGTTGGCCTCAATATGTCGATTTTTGTATTTCTAAGTTGGGGGATTATAAGTATTTCACTCCAGAAAGCCTCTGTGAGTATTTGCAAAGTGGTTTAGAGATGGTAGCATGGCAAGTTGCATTGCAATGCGAGAAACAACATCTTCACTTCAGACCACACCTCTGGAGCATTCGTACATTTGGTGACAGTCCCCTATGACAGCAGTCCATTAAGAGACTGTCATAGATCTGATTTCCCCAGATGTATCATTCCCCTCTTCCCCAGAAATTTTATCTGGAGGAAAAGAAAAAGAATTTGTTTATTTGTCCCAGATGCCCCCAGAATATGTCAGAGCTGGTGTCAGTGTGCCATTTGTTGGCATACACGCTATGTGATGTTCGTGCCCCGAGCACTGTTTTACAGGATGGCTTGCCGTCAGTCTCAGGAGTGTGCGAAGGGCTAGACCTTTCAGTGGAGTTCATGGCTAGTGCTCAGTCCACCTTATCCATAAAAACATGATTACAATAAATTGTGCCCGCAGATTTTACAGGTTATTGTGAATACATCAACCGTAGTTAAAGAGTTAGAAATCTTTCAGAAAAAGAGAAAAAAAATGTTTCATTAACCAGTATCTGAAAGGAAACCCAGCTTCTTCCCTTTGCTTACCAATAATATGTAATTTTAATAAGTTGCCTGCCTCGCCACAGCTTGACATACGATCCTTTTTTGACATACTGTGGCTGTCCTTTGCACTTGGAGGTTCAATGTACTACATAGAGCATGTAACTAATGAGATGGGGTTTTGTTCATCCTTTCAGTTAATTCTGTGTGTTCTTTTTTCCCCCCCCTTTGTGCTGCACGGCTGATTACCGCCCTAGGACCTTGCAATGGGACACAGACCCCTCAGTGCTGCAGCTCCAGTCTGACTCTGAACTTGGGTATATGTCAGCTCTTTTTGTTATTTGTTTCTCATTTCTTTGCAAGAATTATGTTGAAAATGCTTCCCAGTTGAGCTGGTTTTATGTGATTTTCATTTGCTTTGTTGACTCAAAAATACCATAATTTAAGTTTCCTTTTTTTTGTTTCATCAATAAGAAGCTTCAGCAAAGCCATCTTTGTGGAAAAAATCAACTATTTAAAGAAGCTTGTGAAAAGATAAGCTGCTATTTCTGTTGCCTGAAGCACAATGCAAATAACTATTTCATTACAGATGAAATGTTATTATTGTGGCACTTTAATGTGCATGTACAGTTACATTGGTCTTGTTTGTACCTGTTGATTCAGTCTTTTCTCTCTGAATCATTTGCAAGGTACTTTTTCCCCTCCTTCCTGTCTTTGCCATAGTTATGCTGTTTCCACATGCAGTAACCATTTCCCCTTTTTCCTTAGGAGCTGCATATGTGCTTATAATTCTGCACTTAAATATCATCATAGTCCAAGAGTAATTGTCATCTTAGTTGAGTTCAGGCCAATCAAGCATTTTTTAAATTGTACTAGAGCTAAGATTAATATTTTCTAGTTTGGGATGGAACTTCTCTACCCAAAGCATCTGAAAAAATTAGTTAATTTAAATAATTTAGAAATGCCTACCTGCAGAGATAGTGGTGTTTATTTAGGATAAACTGTTCCCTAAAAAGGATACGTAGCTGTCCCTCAAGTTCTTCAGAACTTGAGTCATAGGCAAAACCAAATCTCTGTGTTGAAGAAATTGCTCTACCTACGAACTTATGGGCTTGCCTGTCTGAGTCTCCAGGCAAGCATCTTATGCTTTTCATGTGAAATTCATTCACCATTCTATAAGAAAAAACACAATTTCCCTTTAACTACTGATTGACAGCGCTCCCAGCTGCAGGTTTTTTAGCAGGAAAGATGATCAGAAGGAGTTGAAAGCATCCGGAGAGCTTTCTATGCAGGGTTTCTCCACATCCAGAACCGTTAGGAATGTTTGTAATTTCCACCTGAGTGTGGCTTCAAATAGATCCAGCTTCTACAACTTTACCTGGACCATACCAAGAAGATAGAGTTTATGGAGCTAGTTTAATATACAGCAACCTTTTAAAAATCTCAGCTGTTCTTTCCCAAAAGTTTGGATTAAAAGATGAGCACTCCCAGGAGCAAGGGTCCTCAAATGGCTGTGCAAGGCAAGGAGGTTTATTTGACTCACGTAAAGATAACCCTGTGTATAGACACAAGACTTCAATCTTTTATGAGCAGTCAGTGCAAAGACAGAAAAGAAGCCAAAGAGTAAATCTACAGGTATACTCAGTAAAAGAGAAATCCTGCCCCTTTTGAAAGAAAACTGTCTTCAAAACTAAGGCAGAGTTAGAGGGAGAACCAGACTTTCCTCTGGTGTCATGAGACGAGATAAAAAAAAAAAACCAACAATGCAAAAGAAATCCTGCAGTCAGCATGCAAATGATGTGTGTAGGTAAACACTTCTAGCAGATACATCTTTCTTTTGGCTCCTACAGACAGGATGCGTGGACTTCAGTTACTATCCTCCTACTGACATCCCATAGGCAGTTTTGAAAGGAATCCTTCAAAGCTTATGTTCTCTCTAAGATAAATAGTCAGCAAACTGTAAATGATAAGAATTATGAGCACCTCAGATGAAAAATGGGGATGGGAAAGCAATAGACAGTTTAGTGCTGCCCTAAAAAGAACTGGAGACTAGAACATTACAGTCCATATTTGGTAGAGTCCAGATACTGAAAGGATGCTCCAGTTGTCTCCAAGTCCTTGCGACCAAGCGCTAGGCCAGCTTTTAGTTATGTAAGAAGGATTACAGGTTGCTTAACAGGGTCAAAACTAAAAGACCACATTCCTTCAGATGGAGAGAGACCTCCCTGTCTTCACCAGTAATTACCAGGATATGGGCAACACAAGACATTTGTACAGGCATCAGGAATTCCCGAACTAGAAATATTTTAGGTGAAAAATTCCACACATTCTGTCAGCACACTGCTCTGGCATGTAGCTCACTTCTTGGTTAGCAGTCTACAAAGAGCCTAACCCAACTAGTGGTTAAATCCAGCTCTCCATTAGGATCGATGTTCCCCATCCTCAGGCAGTTGAGGAGATATAGAGTGACCTCATGTGAAACTGTTGTTAGAATTAGGTGAGGTTCTAATTAGGCCCAGATTAGACACATAATTAATTAGAGATTATACTTAACCAAGACCACAGTCAAGAAGCTCTTTCAATGCAGAAGGCTTAAGAATCTCAGTAAGTGGAACCAGTAACCTGGGGCAGCAGAGGACTGGTTACATAGGAAAGTCTTAACTGACCAAGTAGGCAACAGAGATTTCACATCTGGTGCTGAAGGAGGGAAAAGCACACGAGATTCTGCTGGACTGGGATATTTATTAAAGCTAGAATTCACACAAACCCTCAGGTAAAGCAGCTACAAAAATGTGACGCTACTAAAACTTTCATTAGCTGAAGTATATCACAAGGTTTTCTGCCCCCACATAGGATTTTCAGACAATCGTAGCTTTTGTTCATATTGGCAAAGTCACAGATGGTTTTAAGGAGGGAGACTTGTTCATTTTTCCTCTTTGAAAAGAAGAAAGACTCAGAGCTGTAACAACTATTTCTGCTCTAGTGGTTTGTTACGTGATACGGCTGATTCATACTGATTACCTGCTGAATCTAATTGCATTCAGCTTAATAACAACTCAGCCAGTAAGATAGATTAGAAAAATATATAGCTGATGTAGCATCAACCAGCTGAAGAGTTCAATAGGTGTCATCCAATGATGACAATTTCCTTCTGAGACTTCCATTTCCTTTCAGATCAATCTTAATTGAATACCTAAACCACTGTAAATGAATTAGATCAAAAAACCTTTGACCTCTGTTTTGACAATCTGGAAAACAGAGAGGATATGGATAATGTGTATGAATTTTCTGCTTTTCCAAATTGCTCTCTCTAATGACATGGCAGTACAGAAACATTATGTCCATGAATCTATTTCCTGTAAACGTATAAGTGTGCTTGCACTTGTTGATCTAGGCAACTGGACTTACTTAGTTGATTTTTTTATTATGTGCATATTCTTTTCTCTGCTGAAAGTTAGCATTTTCTCCAGTAAAATATTTGCAAGTAAACGTTTGTTATTCTTCCCTCCCTAGAGACAGTCAAATAATATTCAGGAAATAAATTGATTTTTTTCCCCCACACTGTTGAGTGAACTGTGTTTGACTAAAAGTGTTCATGATCATGTTTAGCTGTCTCTCTTCTTTTTCCCTTACCCACTTACAGTTAATTGGCTTTACTGATTTATTTCATATAGTTTATTTAAAATTAGGGAAGCAGTAGAAAAAGAAGGCTATACTTGCCCTGTTCCAGCTGTGTCTCGGAGCTCCCCTCCAACCCTTGCATTAGAATTCTACTAATCATAAACCTACATCAATTCTACTACTAATGACTCCTGTAGAAGGGAGAATCTCCTTGTTTATGGAAATTACCCACCTTGCCAATTAAAGGCTCTTGTTATTGCTCTCAGGTGATCATCTGACAGTTCTAATCCAGCCTGGTTCACACCCACTGTACACTATTGTGTATCTCAGGCTGAGGATTAACTCTTTTGAGCAGGCAGAACATTGTAGTAATGATGGTATGAAAGAGAATTTTGTTGCATGTTACGAGGGGCACAAGCAGGTCATTTCTCTCTCCCATTTACAGTCCCTCTCAGCAGCATGATCTAGAGGTTCAGTAACTGTACTTTATTATGGCAAATGGTTCCCAGATTAATTTTCTTCACTGCAATTAGGTACTTCTCATGCATAGTGTATTGTGTTTCATCTTAGCAAACACTGAAGTATTTTTTTTATCCTGTTCATAAAAGCAAACACTCTTGTTCCTGCTGCTGACTTACATTTAACATGACTAACTTTTTGATGTCATGTATTCCATCTTAGACGCAGACTGCACAAACTAGGGGTGTCAAAGATTACCCAGGTTGATTTCTTACCTCGGGAGGTGGTATCATACTCCAAAGAGACACAGACACCTCTTGCCACGCATCAATCTGAAGGTAAGATTTTTTTTTTTTTTTCAGAAAACATTTTCATAGAAAATAAGTATTTGAGTAAGAGTTAAAGAATGTAAGAAAAATAATAGTAAATCATAACATAGCTACTTATCACATATTTTCTGCAAGCCAGGTATTGTTTATGTGATTAATGGCTGTTCTGGTGAGAATAATTATAATAATGAATTTAAATTTAGCTGGAACCAAACTACTTCTGCCTTACAATGGGTTGTGCTTAGATAACAGCATATTTTCATATAAATCATTATGAATATAATTAAAATAGTGCTTTATTCCATTTTTCTTGCTTTCTCAAGGAAGTTATTCATTCCATGCTTTGTAGAGAGGCCGTGATGGAAAGTTGCCCTCAGATATTTGGTCAGTGTAATTGTGTCCCCCTCCAGTAGGTGAATCTTAGAAGTTACAGTTTAGCTCCATGTGCTGAAAAAGGAGGCTTACATACTTTGATGTGGACAGTCCAGCTTTCTGTCTGCTGACAGCTATCTTGTCTGTACTCCTGGAGCTGTTTGTTAGCTGTTTGGCTTTCCTGTTAATACGTAAATATGTGGAGTAGTTAGCAGGGGAGTGCTGATCTATCTGTTCCTTAGACTACACACTTGCCAGTGTTGTACTGCAGAACACTGATTGCAGGTCAGTTGAAACCATTTAAACTGAATGTAAAACTCTACATTAGCCTGATGTAATTTACACACTACTACAAAGCAGGTAGAAGAAGAAAAGCTGAAGACAGTCTTGACTGTAATTTTTGCTGTTAACAACACAGGATCAAGAAAAGTTCAACAATTGGGTGCTTTCCTGCGGCAGATAGGTAGTGTAGAACTTCACCAGGATTCATACAGAGGAAGATTCAAGTAGGTTGCAAAAGGTGTTGAGTAAATCTGCCTAAATATGAGTTAATGTCAGGGAAGATACAGTGATAAACATAGCCAGCTTCTTTTCTGCAGCTGGGTTACCAGGTCTGCCTTTAAGAAACCAGAAACGAAAACTGCCGAGTTAGATACTCAGATTCTACTTTCCCAGACCACAAGTTTACTCTAGTCATCTGTTGTCTGAAATAGTGCCTTCAAGCACAGACAACTCAGTTGCTTGGATGCTGCTTCTTGAGCAGGATGTCCTGACAGCTTTGCCTTCGCAGAGGGAGAGGCTGCCTCAGGAGCCTCCCTAGTTCAACCCAGCTCATCTCTGTTCGTCTCTCTGAGGGCTGCTGAAGCCTCGAGAAGATGGGGTTTGCCCCTGAGGCCTTGCCTTCCTGGGTTGAGACCAGTAGGGGCTCAACCCTGGGGCATTATCATGCAGTCATTGTTAGATGAGATGGAGGGGACGCCCTTCCTCCCTGACACAGGGCCTTTATCCAATGCAAAAGATACAACTTTGATGTGTTTACCTCTCTCAGGCCTGCAACTCCAGCACTCATTAGCTGACATGCCTTTCTGAACAGGCCAACCTCTTCCTGTAAGTTTTTCTTGCTTTTTCCCAAGGAGCTCTTCAACTACTACAAAATCCTTTTCTTGGGTAGACAAGAGGACAACCTCCTACCCAACAAAAAACCCAACAGTGGGCTGCTGTGGAGCCTGGCAGTCAGGACAGCAAGCACAGAGGGCAATGTGGCTTTTCGTGGTTCTCCCAACACAGAGGAACCTCTTGTTCCTCACTTGTATGAAAGAAGATAAATGCAAACATAAAAAGTGAGGGACTTCAAACTGCTTAGGCCAAACCTGTGATGGGAAAGGTCAAATGGTGATAAGTGGTTTTGGTGACTGGATTTATTATCTTTCATATTCTCTGTGTCATCACAGTCAAGGAAAAAACCATCCACAAAAGTGAAGTTTTCATATTTAAACACAGAGAAAATATCACCTGATCACTTCCCTCAGATGCATGGAGGAGAGAAAGTTTAACTTCTATTTCCTTTCCAATCTGTTGCTAGGGAATTCTCTGCACATAACTTGGACAGGAATATGGCCCTGCATCAGTAAAAGAGCGTCAAGAAAGTTTGGTTATTCCATTGAAATGGTATTTAATTGGAAACTCTCTAGGGGTTAAATAAGCTCTGTGATTTTGGTCTCCCGGGTCTGATGGAAATGACTTCTCAGGTTTTCAATCTCCCAAGCCTCTTTATGAATGCTGAGCCCTTCATACTGTCACTTTAAACATGAACAGCAAACAGGGGAATTCCTTGGGAGGGCAGTTTTGAGGAGAAGTCTCTACACTGTTCCTATGCATTCGTGTGATAAAATATAGCCATTACCTTTTCAAGATAAATTGTTCAGCCATTACTATGGTTATGTGCTCAGTTATTCAGTATCTGAAGCCTTAGAGTTTGAGGGAAAAAAAAAAGAAACCCCGTATTTACTTAGACTTCAGCTTTCAGAATTCACCCTTCCGCTGCCTGCCTTGGACACTGGAAATGTCAAAATGCAGAATTTTAGGATGAGATTGTCACACGCTTGCTTCTGGGTTGGAAGACAACTAATGAAGGGTACAGCTGGATGGAAAGATCTTTCCTGTACAATTAAGCTACTGAAAGAGGACTTTGAGTCCATTCAAAGCTTTGCATCTTTTTTGAAATGTCAGTATCAGGTTTTCTGCACGTTGCTTCTCTAGAAAGAAAGAAACAAACTCTGAGGTACCTTAGACCTACTGCTGTTCTGGAGCTTAGTGGATGTAGGCCTTTGTGGTAATGCCTATTCCCCACCAAAAAAAAAGGGTAAAGGAAAGCTTCATTGTGGTAAGTACAGTGTGGTGCCAGAGAGCCAGATGCTACGAGCACTGAAGTCTCAGCTTGTCAGCTGCTAATTTTAGAAGAAATAATGTGGCATTATTCTTCATGGTATAAAAACAGATTAACTCCTCTTTTCAGAGGAAAATAATGACATGTCATTTCCCCCACCCACTCTATTAGTTAGGGAGATGTGTGTATGCATCATTCAACCCTTTGATCACAAGTACCTAATTCTTTTGCTTTATTTAGGTCACGGTAAGCTTCAGCCTTTTCTTTTCTTCCTTGTAGGATGACTTCAAAAACACCCAGATCTTGGCTCTGGAGCCTGAGAAAAAAAGTGCTCTTTTCCCCTCCTCCTTCTATAACTGAACTTGAATGTAGGTATTTGTAGGCATTAGGAGACGTTTCACTTGTGCTGCTTTTTCCATTCTGGAGTTGATTAAGACCTGAACTATGCCAAATGTTTTCTGAGAGGTCTCTGGGACACATTCCTTCATTGTACAGAGACTCTCACATTGCCCCAGAATGGCAGCCCCATGTAGCCTTCGGTGGTTGGACCCTCCAAAGCACTGCAGAACTGCCCTTTGCTAAAGGCACAGCTAGGAGAAAGCATCAACAGAAAAGCCATGGCCTGGCCTCTGCCCAGGATGAATCCCTCACTGCCATACAGCAGTGGAAGGAGGTCTGTATGTCTGCCTGCAAGCTACCTTTTCAGAAAGGAAAACAGCCTGCACGTTCAAGCTCTGCTGGGTGCCTCAGCTGCAGCTTACTGTTCTCCTGCTCTCTAATGGGCCCAGAGGTAAAATCTCAGTGAGGAAAACATCATACTGTACTTGCACTGAGAAGGGAGATACCCCCTGATTTGGCTCCCCTCAAAACCAGGGGGGCAGCAAGAAGGTGAAGGTCTGTGAGCTCTCTGGCTTTGGTGGCCAGTGTCAGGAATGTTGTTATTCCTCTTTCGTGAAGTAGAAACCAGTTCTTCATTGATAAAATGAGATGTTCTCCCTTTTCTGGCTTGCCAGACTGTCACTGCAAATAGGTTAGTCTGAAATGCGTTTCTGAAAAAATAGATCCCGTATACAGGGGAAGAAGATCTGACTTTCTAGAACAATGGAGGTCCTATGTACTTCACCTGTTTATCATCTTCAACAGATGGTTGTTCATGTGGGGAAAACAAATGTGTTACCATACTCACCTCCTGAGCAGGATAACCTCATCCTACATCACAAATGTTTGCCCAGTTCTGGCAAAGAACCCAGTTCAGGCCCGTGCTCCATCTGTTTATCTGCCATATTCAAATAA